CATTATTATTGCAGTATTTCATGTTGCCTTGTGAAGCATGTATACAGGACGCATGTGTTTGTGAAGCTTGAGTGTTTTCACTGCATTTCCAAGCTAAGGAAGGTATTCACTGTATTCACAAGCAGGCGTGTGGCTGTATGGTTGAACACCCGCTTGCCACGCAAACGAACAGAGTTCGATCCCCACTCGGACCCAGAGTTTCTTATTATATGTTTTATTTGCATCTATCTCAATTTTTTGGTCACACACTAGCTGATTTTTCGCTCCAATGATGCCGATGCCAGAATTTCTTTGAAACAAGCTCTTCAATGCTCTCGCATTTAAAAAAAATGCTCATGAAATGATCACTGAAAACCGAACAAGTTAATGCTTGCTGAAAGCTTCTGTGTAAAAATAACAAAAAAAAAAACATGGCTGATCTTTCTGTCTTGAGAATCTGAATAAGACGAAAGTGAAACTTGCCTTTCTAGAAGTACATTTAAACCTGGATTTAACGAAATTGATAAATTCCCTGGAAAATTTATTACAAAGAAGATTTCGTTAAATGCAGGTTCGGTACGAAAATTTGGGACATAAATGTGCAAATTAAACAAAAGGGGGACTGAAGGCAGAGATAACTCAGAACACTTACTCTACAGTAAGAATTTGTGTTGTTTTTGTGATAGCAATTATATAGACACTCTCTGCGGGTTTTCGCTATTGCCGGCATGTTCCGTAACAAGTCCCAACTGATAACATGCCCCTGCGCATTGCAATTTTCACAAGCGGGTAAAAGTGCGCGACTGCTGCTAAAGCAGAGGTAAAATGAGTCGGCTCATTCCTACCGCCTAGATAGTGCATAAGATAACATCTCCCACGTGTTAAAACTGCTGTGGAATGCTCAAACAGAAAGTACGGGCCTGAAACAACACAGGGAGGGGGGGGTGGATCGCTGGAGTAGCAATAATGGACTTGATTTTAAGGGCGGTCGCGATCGCTGGCGTGCTTTCTATCTCAGCGAGTATTAGTGCGGTTTCAATGCAAAGGGACTGTGTGAAAAGATCACTTCTTCCTGGAGCGGCCGTATTTGCTCACACCAGCGTGTTGTTGGAGTTCCACGATACCGGATCCAAAACACTTGGCTAGCAGTCTTACTTCTTACAACATTACAACTTTTTGCTATTGCATTCATTGCATCATTCTACGTGCCGTTGTGTTGCCAGAACTAATCGGTTTATCCCAGAGGCTACCAGCCTGTGAACTTGAGGCACGGCGCAAAACGGAAGTGCGTGACGAGTCGACATACGAAGATCCGTCGCCACCATGGTCTCGGAGAGTTTCTATCAGCGCCTAATTGACATCCCCTCGGGCGGACGACACAATTTTCCAAAATTCAAAAAATAAAGTCACAGTTTCGCCACAAAGGCGCAGCAATGAATGCGATAGCAACAACTTCGAATGTAACTCTGAGAACAGCAAGCAGGTCGAAACGTGCAGCGCGCTGCTCATGTACAAATGACGCATGAAAACAACATACACAGTATGAGAGCAATCATACAACGTTTACTGCTCAACACGTAACGCGCTGTTTAAACAAAAACGAGGTGCTAAATGAAATCATGTACAGGTACAGATATGAGCGCGATTTAACAAGTGCCCAAGTTTTTACTTTGCTGCGTTTGAAATGTGTACTCTTTATTTATTATTATTATTTTCATTTAAAAACACAGTAGGCCTTTGTGCAGGCCCATACAGGAAGTGGTTAGAAAAGTGTACATAGGCATGGGAACAGCAAAACAAAAACGAAAACAAAAGAAAGAATGCTTCAATAGATAATGCTACAGTAATAGATCGAGAAAATCCCCAGCGAGTGAAGTGATTTTTGTGCACCTGGCAGCTAAACGCAATCGTTCCGGTCAATGTCGAAGGTGCGCTATTCACCCATCCAAAGGAGAAGCGCGCGCACACAGGCATCTAACTCCCCTCCCCCCATTCGCGGGGCAAAGTACGCGTGGGAAAGAAGCGCGTGTCGGTGCATCGTGACAAGCTGGGCGGCATGCGCGGGTAGCTTTATTTTAATTGAGTTTTCATACATACAGATACGTATACATATACGGTGAATGACGGCAGCGGCGACTATGGCAAAAAACCAACTGAAACTGTTCATATAATTGCTATTGCAATAAAATGAATAGCAAAGCTGAACGCCGTCGGGGGCCACACCATGCGCGCACAGTGAAGCTGTGCCCACACGCACAGCATCGAAAACGAAGAGCGAACGACATGGACACAAACACGGATACGGCAGAAAATTATTCAGTAAAGCGCCCTCCATATGCAGTGCGGCCCCACATGCGTGATGCTAACTAAAAGGGTGATACTGTCAACGCGCAAAAGTAGTTTTTTTTTATCTTGGTTTGGAAGGAGGGCACCCCCGCGCATGTTCCCGCGGTGGCGAGAACGGCAGTAACGCCGGATCGTGGGGTGCAGGCCTGCCTGCCCATCTTGCGCTCGCTCACCTGCAGCCCAATAACTAGCGCTCGCTTTCGCCTGGTGTGCCGTCGCCGCTTCACGCTTCTTCGGTGGCGGGGCAGCCTTGGAAGATGCATGATCGTACCAAAATGCCAAATGCAGAGCAAAATTTCTAGATTTTCTGTGGGGAAAATTTGTTATATCAAGGTTGTCTCCCGCTGTTACTTAGTTACATAGAGGTCGCGAATACATGTGCTTCTATGGAAAAACGACGGGGAATAGAAAAGCTTTGTTATATCAAGCACTTTATTATATGGAGGTTCGTTATAAGCAGGTTCAACTCTAGTTCATATTGTGTAGCGATAGAGTCGAACTATACATACTGCTGTCTCTTATAGCCATTTGTCTCTTATAAGAGACACTGATATAAGAGACAAAGAGGCACCAGTATGCCAACAGTAAAATATGGCTAATAGTAAAATGCATATGATGTCCTCTGCTTATAAGAGATATGTCGTATAAAGGACAAGAATCGCTGCCAACAGCACGCCTCTTATAAAGGGATTTAACTGTATTGTGTAGAGCTTGTACAATTTTTATTGGCGTTTGACAGCTATATCACCATTTTACGTCAACACAGCCACGTTGACGCCTACATTTCAATTGCGACGGCTACTGTCCATGATTATGATTTAGTTGTTGTGGTGACTGAAGTTTTCAACATATACCTGAACACAGCACATCGTTCATTGCGTACAAAGATGACATTAGCAAGCACACACTAAATACTGCTACTCGAAATGCGCGTTTTCGAAGATCGTCAGTTATAGAGAGAAACAGCACTGTGTGCGCTCTTGAAGCGACGCCAGCACTCACGCATACTGCGCTTCAGCAACGCAAGATGCAGTGGTTCGTTGCTTGAGCCGCGAACATGCGCCAGCGTGCCACATCCTGCTGGTCTCAATTTCGCACCACCAAGGCATGACATTCGCCCATCGAGAAGCTTTAACCATGCCCTCGAAGACTGCGTGTCGGCACATTATTTTTTTAATGTTTGCTTTTTTTCTCATCTAGTGCCTTTAATTTTACAGCGTCATGTCTATGACGGAAATACGCCACTGAAGACTTGTAGAAACCCTGGCATAAAAAAACACTTGCACTTTAGAAGTTGCTGCTCAAGTATACCAAGTAAGATTACTTGAAGCTATCATATCTGTTACTGAACTGCTAGAATTTGCCATCAACCAGTGCAGAAAATGTCTGTTCATTTATTTCATGAATGTCCACCGTAAAATACTGTTACATGAAGTTGACGTCGCTAAAATGCTAGATGGCACCACAAATTTTCCGGGTTTGCTTACTATCCAATCAGCACACATCAAAGGTGACAATAGGCAGTGATGGAAGTGCTGCTCCGATTGCTACTAACTCCAACTGCTCCAAAAAAGAAATGCTAGGCCATGCTGCTCCAAAATGCAATATTTGTTAATAACTGCTCTGAACCAGCTTCGAAATGGCAATGGGGAAACTAAAAACCATGAAGAGCAAGCATGTTACGCATACTAGCATTTTCTATGTATGTCTGATATAGTTGTTTATTTGTACCTTACAAGCAGTCTATTTTGGTGAAATGTGTGCGAAATGTTTGCGAAATACTAGCCGCTGCGGCTACGGTTTTGACATGTGACTGATTACATTTAGTACCACTTTCATCAGCTTTCACGTTGTTTATGTGTGACAAGAGGAAGTATTTTAAACGATAGTTAATTTAGCTTATTGGATATTTGCAACTTTCAATACTGACTACTTTCGCCCAATACGAAAATGACACTTGTTGTTCAAAGACCATCCATCTGGCTAATTATGTTTCTTGCAATTTGCTGCTAATATTTTATGTGAAATATACAGTAGACTCACAATAATTCAAATTGATAATCTATAATTTTGGATGATTCAAACAAAACTCAATTTTTTGGTAGGCCTGTTTTTTAAATGTATTTAAAAGACTCTTAATACAAACTCCATCATTTGGTTAAGTTACACTTTTTTAGTGGTTTCATACCAGGAAATATCTGCTGCTCTTTCACTACTATTTAAAAATTTATGTGCTTATATAATCCTTACAGTCTAAAAATGAAAAATAAGCATCTCAGGCCTTCAAGGAAACAGGCATTGCTGAAGGCACATATAGCAAAGAAGCAGTTGGCAATTCACGATTTCTTTAAGAGGTCTGATCAGCAGTAAATGGCCGATAAATTTGTGGGCCTTACACTTCTGTTTTCTGTTCATTGTGTGCAGTTAGGGTTTAAAAATGCTTAAAAAAATTTTAATGTGACAAAATCAACGCCTAATCGTAATGTGTGGAGTCGCCTCACCGAGTGTCATCTATTTGAGAACTTGTTATAATTCAAATTTCTTGATAATTCAAACAAGTTTAAATTATGAGAGTTGACTGTATCTGTGCCAATGGTGCAGCCACAAGATGGCACACCATTTAGCTATGTATAAACTTAACGTGTGCAAGAATTCATTCACAGTGATGTCTGCAGATGCTGAGGATGGTTTTGATGAGACAGCCTGGAAGCTTCCTCAAAGTGAGTGTTCCCCTTTTTTCTTTTAGGGATATCATCCTAAAATATCAAAGAAAAAAAAGGTGCACTGCTTCGAAAATATTGTGTTTATTTTGCGTATTGTATGTTCTTATGCAAATAATCTTAGCTAAAATTGGGGTGCAGCTTTTGCATGAATTTGGTTGTGCAATACAAGGAAGGTGGATAAAACTGGCAATAGATGCGGATTGGGAGAGTGATGCTGGTGACTGGAATCAAGTGAATATGAAGTTTTTACAATATTCAGGCGTATTTATTACTGGAGTTATTTTTATCACTGTGCAAAATTAATTTGCTTGGTTAGAATATGCAGGCAATACTCCAAGATTAAAGAAAACTATTGTCTCAGGTTGCAGTTGTAGGTGCAGATTTTATGCAAAGATGGGTTATATAGTTAACACCCATTAAGACGAACTCTCCGATTTCTTGCTTAAGACGAGCAACACGGGAGTGTTTGTTTGATTTTCCATAGACTCAATGCAAAAAAAATCTGCTTAAGACGAACTGCAAAAGAGGCTTTTTTGTTAAGATGAACTCTCATCTTAACAAAAACTGTCTTAACTGTCTGGATGGCCAACCAGCAATAATGAGGATTCTGTGCAACGAACATTATAGTCTTGATGAGGACACTCAGCAAACAAGAGAAATCAAAATCCTGGCGCAAAGACTCAAAGCAAGCCGACAGCGGAATTGCGATGTTGAGGGAGGAAGCGAGAAAAGTGGAAAAGAAAGGTCAGCACATAAAACTGGTATCTTTCTCACCCTATGCCTGTAGGTGGAGAAAGTATTATATCTTCGTCTAAACAGGGGCGAGACCGGCAGGCAGCACACGGTGGCTAAGTGCAACACATGTTCATTCGGTCACACAACCAACTCTTTTACAACGTTCATTCGGTCACACAACCAACTCTTTTACAACCAGGAAGGAAAAGGGGCGGTTGCTTATATACATGATCGAGCCACTATCACACCGAGCATTTACGTCGCGAAGCCCAACAGTCCGAGTCCGGGTCACCGCTGATAGCGAAGCGCGTCTGCGTCAGCCCCCCTATGCACAAACACGATAACACAATACTCCTCTCCCCTCACGAAGTTTCATCTCACGGCATGTAACGGTCTGGCGGTCGCCTAAACCGTGTAGAATGTCGAAGCTGCGGTGTTGATTGTCCCAAGGGGTCGCTTTCTAGAGACCACTGTCGAGCGTCGGCCCGCTGTCGTATAGAAGGCCAGGAGAAGGCTCGGTTGAAGGCCTGCCGATTAGCTGCTGGTGACGTCAAGTTCAATGCTGGTTGGTCCTGATCGTTGAACCGAGTAGGCGTGCTGGTCGAGGTGGGCTCTCTAGTGTCCCTGAAGAATGGACCCTTGTTTTCTACCCTCGGCCCGTCCAGCACTGTTCCCGCTGCCTTAAGCCAGCTTTGGTTCTCTTGAAATGTACGCAGTCGCAGGTTATCAGCGTGAACGTATCAGTCCTCGTCTCCGACGCGAACAATGTACATGCATGCGCTGCACCGCTGAGCAATGGTACCCAACAGCCATTTGTCATCGTCCGGGCGGAGCCCTTTTACCAAAACCTGGTCGCCTTCCCTAATGTCTCTCCATGGCCCTCGTTTCTGGTCTGCGTGGAGCTTCGCCTGCTCCCCCCTTTCGCGTATGCGTTGTTACATTTCAGGGTGCAGCAGACTCAGCCTGGTTCTTGGCTGCCACGACAAGAAGATCTGGGCCGGGGTCCCACCAGTGGTGCTGGACGGGGTGTTGCGATAACTGAAGAGAAATTGGTCTATGCGATGTTGTATGGACTTCTTGTCTTCTTTTCTTTCTTCGTCTAGTATCTGTTTAAACAAGTCCTTCTTGACGGTCTGAACGCACCGTTCGGCGCTACCATTCGAAGCTGGGTGATAGGGAGGAGATTTGGAATGACGAATTCCATTCCTGCTCAGGATTGTTCCGAAGTGCTGCGATGTGAATTGGGGCCTGTTGTTGGTCACGATCTCCTCTGGTAGTCCGTAGGCCGCAAAAACAACCTCGCAATTTCTCTACCGTCTTTTCACTTGTTGTTGTTGTCATGACAAACGCCTCAACCCACTTCGAATGAGCGTCCATTAGGACCAAAAAGTAATGCTGGTCCCTTTGCGCAAAATCTAGATGAACTCGCTGCCATCTATGCGTTGGCCAGCCCCATGACATTAGTGGCACTCTAGCTGCCGCATTCTGTGATAACTGACAAGTGATGCACTCTTTCACCGCTTGCTCTATGTCTAGCGTTAAGCGAGGCCACCAGACATGACTCCTTGACAGCATTTTCATTCGAGTCATCCCTGGGTGACCTTCGTTAAGCATTTCTAGAACCTTCTGTCGCAACGAAGCTGGTATAACCACGCGATTGCCACATGTTACGCATCCTTGGTCTACCGACAGTTCGTTACGGCGAACGAAGTATGGTGAAAGATCGTCGTCCGACACATGCGCAGGCCACCCGTTCTGCGTAAAAAACAACACTTTGGACAGCAATCGATCTTTACGCGTTTCCGATCTGATTTCCTTTGCCGACAATGGAGCCTCATCTAGCACCGAAAAGAAATAAACGCCCTCCGACTCCTCTGCTTTGTCTTGGAGTGGTAGCTGTGAAAGGGCATCGGCATTTTGGATTTCGCTTGCCTTTCGGTAGACCCATTGGTAGTCATACGCTGCAAGGATTAAGGTCCACCTCTGTATCCTTGCTGCTGCCATTGTAGGGATTGGCTTGCCATGCCCGAAAATTCCAACCAGGGGTTGGTGATCTGAATAAACGGAAAATTTTTGACCAAACAAAAATTTGTGGAACTTCTTTAGACCGAAAATAACTGCGAGAGCCTCTTTCTCCAGGTGGGCGTAGCCCTGCTCTGCCTGACTTAGTGTCCTCGATGCGAACGCTATCGGTCTTTCGACCCCCGCGATTTTATGGAATAAAATCGCCCCTAGTCCATATGCCGAGGCGTCGCATACCATACCCAGTTCCTGATCCGAATTGTAGTATGTTAGTACTCTGGGATGCATAAGCCAATCCTTAGATCTCTTAAACGTATCCGCCACCCTGTCCGTCCATTGCCACTTAACATTTTCGCCCAATAACTCGTACAATGGTTTCAGCTCTGCTGACATGTTCGGAACGAATTTGTCATAAAAATTGAGCATGCCCAAATATGCTCGAAGCTCCCGTTTGTTCTTGGGTGTCGGCGCGTTTTGTTAGCGCGCACCTTATCCTCGGATGGCTGAATGCCATTTTCGTCCAGCACGTGACCCAGATACACCACCGATGTTTAGAAAAACTTGCACTTTTCTTTGCGCAATTTAATGCCTCGTTTCTTGAACATTGTCAGCACGCTTTCCACCTTTTCCCAACACTCCTCAAAACTTTTCCCAGCAATCAACACATCATCCAGGTAGCAGGCGACTTTATGTAGGCCTCCTAGAACATCGTCCATGACTGCCTGGAATATTGAGGGTGCACTGGTTATCCCATACGGTAAGCGCGTAAACTTAAACAGCCCCATGTGCCTATTTATCGTGAGCAAAGACTGCGAGTCAGGGTGCAACTGCAGCTGCTGATACGCGGTTGAAAGGTCAAGCACAGTGAAATATTTGCACCCATGCAAGGCCACAAACAAATCTTTCATGACTGGCAGCAGATAGTGATTGGTGTGCAAGCAGGGATTCACCGTCATTCTGTAGTCTCCGCGAATCCTGACCGTTTTGTCTCCTTTTGGAACCACCACCAGTGGCGTGGCCCAGTCGCTTTTTAGGACGGGAACAATCACCCCTGCGTTCTGGCGGGCCCTCAATTGTTGGGAAACGAGATCTCGTAGTGCGAAGGGCACCGGTCGAGGTTTACAAAAGACCGGTGTTGTGCCATCCTTGAGCAACAAGCTTACTTGACAATCCGTTATCTGTCCAAGCTCTGGTTCAAACATTTCCGAGAACCTTTCAAGCAAGCTAGCTACAAGATTGATCCCCACCCCACTCACACTCAACCAATCCAATTTAAGAGATTCCAACCAGTCTCGCCCTAGCAACGCAGTCTCACTCTTTTGCAACGTACGGACCACGATCAGAGGCAGCGTCGCTGTCTGGTTGTTGTGCTCTACCGGCATCATCAGCTTGCCCAGAGCCGCTAACGGCGTTTCCCCATAGGCTTTTAGCTTTATGCTACACGGCAACAACGGTCGCCCGGCCCAGTGTCGCTGATAGAGAGTCTCGGGGACGATAAAAACAGGCGCGCCCGTATCTATCTGCATCGGCACATTACGACCCCCGACCTGTACATTTACAGTATAGTTTCGGACACTCTCGTCACACGAAAATACATTCTGTAGCAAAATATTGTCCTCACCACTACTGTCCTCCGCATAGTGCGCTGTGCTGGCGGACGATCGGCACGCTCTTGCCAAGTGGCCCACTCGTGTGCAGGCGCGGCAGCGGTATTTCCTTAATGGGCACCTTTCGTTGGTGTGGGTGGTGGCTCCGCAGCGGTAGCAAGCCCAACCGGTTGTTTCTTTCGTTGCTCTGGTTTCCATGTAGTCTCCACGCGGCTGTCCCGACCTTGAACTCAGAGCTTGTCGTTGTACGGCGTGGACACCCAGTTCTTGCCCCTCCGGCTGGAATTTCTTCGTCTCGGAACGGGCTAGTTCAATACTTCGGGCTAGTTCGCACGCCTCTGCAAACGTCAGTGTGGCCCTCTTCAGAAGCTCTGCTTGCGTTGTCTCGTCTTTCAGCCCGGCAACGAAACGGTCCCGTAAAGCTTCATCCAAAAATGCCCCGAAATTGCAGGAGGCAGCCAGACTCTTCAATTCCAACGCAAAGCCCGCCACCGATTCTGTGTCCTGCTGAATCCGGCGGTTGAATCGGAAACGTTCCGCTATGACCATGGGTTCCGGAGCATAATGCTTCTTGAGGGCTTGAATTAGTTGCGCATATTCTTTCTCCTCGAGCTTCGTGGGAGCTAGTAGATT